GTCAGAATTTAGAATTGACTAATTAATTTTTAGGTAAAGTTTAATATGTAACTCTTTTTACTGAGAGCATGTCGTTTTGTCTAAATAAGTTTTTCCAACAGAGAACCGACGTGGTTAAATTAAACGGATCGATTTACCAGAGACACAGATAGCAACATATAAAGGGGTGTAAATAGATATCTAAAGGGGAATGTACAGAATCTATACATTATATATCTTTGTGACGTTACTTGCCGACATTTTGGTTTAGGTCTATAATTATTTTATTACGTACCCTTAGCACGATAAAGCCTAAAAATTTATAAATCGTGTAATGATTTATTTAGTCTACGCAACAAGCAATGAATACCGTATTAGGCTACATTCATGCTCTTCAACAATATTGAGTTACTTTTACTCCTTTTCTTCATAAGCAAGTTTTGCAATCGATACTTTGAAAAATGTTACTTCAATATCGTCCATTGTCTATGCTACACAATGGGTCTTATACAATTCCCGCTTCAGATTTCGACCCCGCCTCAGCGTCCAGTTCCCAGTAACGCCGATCCGTTCGTCAGCAGGTCAGCGTCGTCTGCAAAAATATACTTCCGAGACGCACAATCAGCTGGGTCAGCATCTGTTTAGTCTACCAATGAGATCATTGTATCGTTATAAGCATAGTTTGTATCAGCAAAGTCTGTCTCGGGATAACAGATGTTTGATTGTTGATTTTGTTATGGCTAGACGATTTAGATTTGTTTTCGTAAGACTTTTCTTGGATTAACTATTTAAATTGAACACGCATATAACTTTGTTACTCCCGTACCACTGCGTTGTGGGGTTCGTTGCATATGCTTGAACACTTACAATCCCCTTAATATTTGTGTCAATATTGAAATAAATAGGGGGAGCGAGTTGGTCTAGTGGTAGCGCGTGGGACTTCGGTACCTGAGGTCCCGGGTTCAAATCCCGCCAAATCGCCAATGGAATATCTAAGTGATAATACCGAAACCCCTAGGTCTAGCCTAATTGTGTGAAAAGAATCCCGGGCACGGGCCTAGAGTCCTAGAAAGAAATTGGAAGAAATAATGCAATTGCAATTTTGTTGTAGTTTGACAAAACAAACTTAAATTTGTCAATAGGCCTCAAACATCTTCAAACGAACTTAAAATTTTTTTTATAATTAGAATTATAAAAATAATAAAATGACTCTTCGGTCCTTGCAGCAAACGTATGTAGGCATAATCACAATCGAGATAATCCGGTGTGTATTTGGCAAGAATTTCATTGTAATTTTATATTGAAACCATTCGAATAGATTTCCCTCAACATATGTATTTTCCTCTTAGTGATTACAGGTTACAATGTTACAGTATTTGATTCCTTTTCGTTTCTGTGGACGTTCACTCTTCTTCAAACACATATTAAAGTTAACTATTTTCAATCACTCTCTGTTATTCCATGAAATCAATCATCTCACACAATTGTATCCATAAAGATGCTCTTCCAGGAAAACTACAAGTAACCACAAGTATGACAAACTTAAAATTTTATATAAGAAACAAATGATCGCTATTGATCGCGGAGGCTGCACATTCTGAGAAATGTGACAACCTGATGTGGAGGAAGTCCGATATCCAACCGGTCATACAGACGATGTAGGTAGACTACGAATAGACACATTACCGACCAGTCGTCATAACTCAACATGTGAACGTTGAAACTCAGGCTGAACAATTGAATTGATGAATTCAGAATTGAATCGATAACGTCATATTAGTTCTAGGATGCACTTCAGTATCCGTCCTACACTCATTCGAATGGAAAAATATCGATCGATATATCGATTATTTCATTCGATATATTAAGTTTGGTTAATTAGGTAACCTAACTAACCGAATGAAATAATCTATATATCGAAAAATCCATTTATCGATATTTTTCATTCGAATGAGTGTAGGACGTAAACTATAGTGCAACATAGTTCCATCATAAACTAGTGCTTGGAACGTGTTGAATGAACCTGTAGAATTATAATACCCCCGGCCGCATCAAACCTGCAGAAAAGGGAATTTCCATTCGTCTAATTGAATTTTCCCTAAAGATATTTATTTTTCCCTTATTTATTCCCTATTTAAAAACAATACGTTTGACGAGTAATTGAGTTTGCTGGTATATTCTGTAATGCAGTAGTATGAAATTACAGTAATAGAATTTGCCAATTTTGAACAAAATACAACAAATCAAACGACAGTTTAGATTTTGTGCATAAAAATAAAATGGGAAAATTATTGTTGGGCAGTTTTTTTAATTATTTTTACAACTTCATATCATACAACAACAATTCGATATACAGTACAAAATTATTTGATTTTTTGAGCCTTACTCAACTGCTGTAATGTAAATTGGGTATTTTCAAGCTTTAATTGAAAAAATTAAATAGATGGCCATACAAAATTAAAACCCCTTAATACCCTGTTACCATGACCCAATCTTGCTGGTTTACGAACTCATAAAAAAAATCAGCTTATTACATTCATACCTAACTTCATCAAAATCTACCAAAAAATACTCGAGTTATCGTGTCCATGGACTTGTAAAAGGCATAGATACGAATTTAAACGAATCGTGTTTTTAGCCTATGTGTACATACAAATTAAAATAAATCGGTCCAAGGTCTAAGTCTTCCGGGCCGCCTACGGTAATAGCCTCTTTCCATAGGGGAATTTCGCTTAAATTGTCTTGCTCCTTTCCTTCATCTATTTATCTTTCGATGGATCAGTTACAGACTATTGTACAGAATCTTTCTGTAAGTTTTATTATATCCACTATCCACTCTAGGAAATCTAAAAGAAATAAATGGAGTTAACCTTTCGCAGAACTATTACCGTCACATAACAATACTTCACAATATAAACATGTCTGGGTGCTGAGGCAGGGGGGATTTAACGATAGCGACAGCGTATGATATAGCATAGGCGAGGCTATAGCGCAGTTAACATACAATGGACGACAAGGTCAACTGGTTCGATGCCGCCAGATATCGCATAATATTGTCGACAGGTTGGACTGATACGGTTTTAAACGATCCTGACACTGCCTTTGTGATTTCCTAGGGGTTTCTTTATTATTATCTCGAATTAAAACAATAAAACTAACCAAGGTATTTGTTTAAAATTGTTTTTCCTGCACTTCGAGTTCGTTTTATATACTCGAGATTTGCTTTACGTCCAATTTTAATTTGCCGGTGATTATCGAAACGTTTTTCAATTATGTATACTGAACAAGGTATTTTTTATATATTTCAACAAGAATGTATTAAACAGATTAGTTTTGAGATTTAACGTTTTTTTTTTATTGTGCGTACTAATCGTGGTTTTATGCATCGTATATTTTATACTTTAATCTTACTTTGGAGTTTTGCTTGAATAATAATTATTCAAGCAATTCAATCGACACAAATTATTTGTGCTGATAAATTTCACAACAAAATAGTATTTAAAATCTTGAGAAATAACATGTACCCAAGCATCAACAAATCCGGTATGGTCTAGTGGCTAGGATACCTGGCTCTCACCCAGGAGGCTCGGGTTCGATTCCCGGTACCGGAAGAAACTTTTTGCCACTGAAAATGCTCACTGTGACTGGGCGTCGGTACACCTTCAAAACCGATTACACCTGGTAGTGCTGAAAGTAATTTTATTATTAGTATGAAATATAAATTTTTTATGTGATAGCCTATTTTATTATTTTTACATTTTTGTAATTGTCTACTGGTGGACTTGTTTAGCTAATTAGTTATCAACATTGTATATTTTATGCACAATTTAATTTTTGTACTATTTATTGATTCTAATTTTGTTAATTTAAAATTACACATTTGCCTATTTTACTACACTTACTTATAAGTAGGCTACTGAAGCTACGTTAATCTATCCACGTACAATGTTTTCAAAAATAGTTAAATACTTTTTTTGTCGATTGAAGTGGCGACCATACAAAGTAGGTATTTTAAGCCAAGTATTAATGGAGATGAGTGTAGGATGAGTGCTATCTTGTAAATCATATAAACTAAGTTATGTAAAAAATACATACACACCGACAGACGGAAAACGAAGCGAGATAGGGCATATGTTTACACGCTATGTTTTTGTTTGTTTTGACCTAAGGAACATAACCACGGAGTTTCTGGAGAGTTTCGAAACACCCTTTATATAGCTGGCATAGTGGTAGAGCACGGGACTTTGGTCCCAGAAGTCCTGGGATCAAATCGCTGCGATAACAGACTATAGAATACTGTAATGTTTACTCTATAGTCTGTGCCGCGACCCTTTATGACCTAGGACTAGCCTGAAGTAATGAGTAACAGTTCTGGGCTAGAGTTTAGCGTACTAGCATTGACTATGAAAATGGTACTAGGATGTAAAGGTGGGACATAACAACAATTTAGAAAAAGTGTTACCACTTGAAGGACTATAGCGCATACACTCCAATGTAAAGCACGAGCAAAGCTAGTTTAAACTAACTAGCATTTTCAGCGAGGTAAGGACGTATCGTTGTGTCTAGTGGAAGCCCCAATCTCCACTGTGTGGGTGTTGTCCTATTTTGGAAGGCAGGTGCTGCGCGGCAGACAGGTGGTAGGCCCGTCAGGTGGCCAGCGGGGCGGAGTCCCCAGCTCAGATTACCCCTAGTGACCTCTCACCCTGGACTTCCATCCTCCATGTTAACTGGAGGGTCAGAGGTGTCCGCGTGACCATTGGTCGAAACATTGATGTCTGGGGATCGGACTTGGGACTTGGGCCTATTTCTGACTTTTAGAACTGGTTAAAAAGGTTTTGTGTAGTAACACTTTTTTCCACAGATCAAGAAATATAGAAATACCGGTAGTCGTTGTTTAATTAGTAATTTTGTGCCTGATGCGATGAATTAACCAAATCACCAAAAAAACAAACAACGATAACTGTACAATTGTAAAACGTGACCATAAAACTGTTTTCAAAAGTCAAAATATTAAAACTTACTTTTTGTCACTGTTTAGAAAGCTGTCGAATTCCACCGACATCTTGCAGCACAACGCTTTCCTAGAATAAAAAGAAAACACTTAATACATTTTTTTATTAAAGCAATTGTTTTTATTATTTCAGTTTCAAGTTTTGTTTAAGTATTTAATGTATTTATGAATTTTAAATTCAGTAAAGATAATATTTAAAATGGTAACACGTTATTATCAAAAGTCTTATAGCAGACAAATAATAACTAGTTTTTATTATCAGTCACAGGTATATGTGTGTAAATTTGTGTGTAAAGAATTTAACAAATAATAGAAATAATAAGGATGTAATTATTTGTTTGATTAAATACAAATTTTAAGGAATAAAAATACTATTTTATCTTAACCATACACACAATTGAAAGTGTTATTGAGAATGTCTAAATTAAACTTTAAAGTGCATAGTTCCTTACCTATTATGCGACGATGAGCAATTTGTGTTGACCATGTGACCATCTGAAACAAAATGTTTAAATTAACAATAAGCAAACTACCAGTTTTTACAATAAATATTTGTTTCGTCATACTGCACAAAACAGTTTCAAAACGTGTTTTGCTGGATTGAAGTAGCTCATTTTTGCATAGGAGTAAAAATCAGCTGGAGTCGATGACGTAATGAATACTGTTTATGAATTTGTTTACTTCCATTGTAAGCAATCGATTGTATAGATTGTTTGAAATCGATTGGAGATCATTGTTGCTTTGTTGTCGACTGGATTAAAATTTGTTTACGTTAAATCTAAGAAGATCCTAAGCTCATTTTCCTTAAACTTGAGCTCGTGTCGAAAAAAGTTACTTTACGAACAAGAGAGGAAATATACTATTCTAGTTTCATTCTTTGTCACTACCAAATCCCAACGAATTGTTTAATATTTTGTTTGGTATGAGGAACAGAAATAAAGATATTGTCTGTCTGTTTTCTGTGGTCCTACCGCCGCGCCATGTCGACGAAGACGACGTTCCGAAATAATTGTACCGCGACCACAGACACTAATTCCCAACCCCAAAAAAATCTCTCATTTCCTGACTATATGGTTTAATACCGACAGCATTGAATATGATAAGCCACTTCATCACACCCTAATGTGTCATAATCCTAAACCCTCATATCGAATAGCCTAACTAATTTGTTTCGATTCAAATACTGTATAAATTTTTTTCGCAAAAAGTCGACTTTTGTCACGATGAATAACCATTGCAACACTTCCACTGGAAGAATAGAGCCTTCAGTAGGTGTAAGTCACAAACAGTAAATGTCCTTTGGATTTCAAGAAATAGGGCGTTTTTTACGCAACTCATATATTACATTACTGTGATACAATGTTAAACGACAAAACAACCTTATATGTTGGTATCCCTGATTTTTTACTTCATTGTCGATCAGCTGATATGTATTGTTGCATATTTCTCTGCTGTTAGTTATCTGCTGCATACTCTCTCTATTGTTAGTGTTTCTGGAATATATTGCAAGTAAGACCCAACATGGTGTTTTCACAAGCTATAATAGAGTATGTGTTGTACGTTCTACGTTTTTTTGTTTAATTTGGATCCGGTTTCCTTAAATTTTCGTTTATTTACTATGTACAATACTGTAATCACGCCAAGAAACTTGATTTCCAACCTTTCTTGACATAAAACCAATGATTTACTAACTTACTCTTCTAACACTTTGAGTTTGGCGAAACACCATATTGTGTCTTATTTAAAATAAATTCCCAATAGTACCAAACCTTATAGATAACTATGGAACAATGCATACCAGCTGATCGATAATGAAGTAAAGAAACAGGAATACCAACATAAGTTGTTTTTGTCGATAAACAGTATCTCGCAGTACTAACTTTTAATTTACCTCATTTGCGTTAACAAAAATCTTGCATCTATGAAAGTACCAATGTTCTTTGGATTCAATTTCCTACAATCTTATACGATTTAATTATTCCCTATCTTAATAACACGACGGAAACCCCCTCAACCAATTTAACATCTTATAAACTAAATTACCACCAATTTATTAACTTTCCGCCCAAACAAAGCTTGAAATCACCTCAGCACGAACCGACACAAAAACCGTCCCTTGATAAAGGGCGGCAATATACTAAGCTCCTTCTAATGCTGTTAGACCTATTTGTCTTGTAGGGTTGGTCTACAATTTATTGCGTTCCTGTCCGAAATACCGACAAAAACAGGGCCCTGCCCAAGGAGCCCCATAGCTCTACAACTCCTAACTTAAATTAGGCAATTTCGTGGCAATATAAATGTTAATGACTTAGTGAGAATCCGCCTACTCAAAAATGGAATTTGGACGGAAATTGGAAAATCTGTTTCTACGTAGAGCAATGACGTAATGTTTGTTAAATGTCCAATACGGAAATAATAAATGATTGTACATAACAAAGTTGACGTAATAAAATGTTAAGTTATTTTGTCATTGAACCAGTAATAGTAGACTCAACACAAGTAGGCTTCTCATTTCGTTGTAAATTTTGAAGCTCGTTTTCGTGTCTAGTTCATGTCCGGCGACACTGATCGCTAGTGTCGACCAGGGCTAGGGTGTCGACAACATTTTCTTTCTATTGTTTTAAGGGTAATTTCGTTAAGGGTTTGTTTTAAGGGTTTGTGCTGTTTCGTTATACAACTAGGGGACGAGTTATTGTTTAAGATTAGATCGTTTTATTTCGTTAAACGAGATTTTAAATGACTGAAATAAATAACAAGAAACAAATTGCAATCAAAACACGATCTCTACATTGCACCGGACGGAACAAACAATAACATTGTCTTCAGCTGTTCCATAATGTTAAGAAATCTACTAAGGGAGTATGTTTGATCCATGGTAATAGCAATGTCACAAGCATATTTCAACTATATTAATCAAGTGTCCATGTATATGCACAAAGAAGAATTGAAAAAATAAAGATTTGTTTGAATTAATATTACCTTCGTAGGTTTTATTTTTAAATTAAAATATTGGAACTATAATAAAGAAAATCGCAAAAGCCGACAAACGTAAATGGTAAACATAGGTTGCTGTTGTGTAAAATTATTGACTATTTGATACTGAAGTAGACATAAAGTGCGCTGGTGTCAAAAGTTATATTTTCTACCTTTGGCATAGTTTATGGGTCATAACAGTTGCTACAACTCACAATAAGTCGTTCCATCAGCTTGACTCTGTATAAAAGTTCGTGAATTCGACAGAAATTAGTAATTTACATCAGCACAATCGGTAGCTCGCGTCAACTAGACAATTATGGGGAGGGATGGAATGTCTAGTTGTATTAATAGTCAAAGGTAAAATGTAACTAATGGTAGCACTCCATCAATCAAAAATCTTTGATCGCAGTTTGGACTTTCTGAAGACCCTGTGTTTCATATCCTTCGGCGCTTCAAACTCAAAAATGCCCAATTACATGAAGAACCCACATCTAGACCCAGTTCCGACAACAAAGACGTCCTAAGACAGGAAGTACGCCGGCTACGTTGCTACGTAGAAGCACAATATTCGTCAAGATAATGGAGATAGCGACTACGTTCCCACGTTATAGCGTTGTAGCGATTTAATTGCGCACCTGCAGCGCTACTAGTCACTTCCGGTCCTGTTCCAGTGTTCCGGTCTGACGGTGCTGTTCCACACTCCACACGTCACCGCCACCACAATATACTATACAAAATACACCCAAATGTGAGCGCGGTGGGAGCATGGTGGGATTATCAGATCAATTGTGGGATACTTTGGGCTGTTGCGGGACAACATGGGCACGGCGAGGGATAAAACTGGCTTACAGTACATCAATTTTTACAATTATCGATTAGATTGTTTGACTTAAACAAATATTATTATTTGAAGACACGATTCTGGTAGTTTGAGTTGTTATCATTTTTGTAGGCCTCTGTGCAAATATAGCAAATACCTAATGGTAATTTAATTTCGTAAGGCTCTTATAGGTTATATTTGCCGGTTTGGCTATTTTTTGTCTTTAGGTTAATCTATTCAATTCAAAATAAAATAGAGCTCTTAATCGTGGATAACTGTCTCCTTGGATATCTTCAATTACGACAAAGCATACTTTAGTTAAATTATTTTAGGCACGCCTCTTCTACAAGGACCATGTTCAATTCCTGTCATTCGCCAAAAGGTTTTAAAGTTGGTTTGAAACCCAACTCAAGCTTTTATTCCATTCTTTTTGAGTCGATATTTTCCTCAACGAACAGCCATACAAGTTAAACAACGAAGGTTTAATGCAAGAATTCGGACAAAACTAGAGAATGTAGGTGCAAACATTACGGTAATTAGGGAAAACGGGGAATTCCACGCCTAGCTCAGGGATAAAGCGGGAATTTCCAATCAACGTGGGATAGATATTCCCCTTTGTTGTCAAAACAACGCACCCTGACTAATGCATTGCTGTAGTTGGTTGCGGTTCGCTTATCTTTGAGATAAGTGTGTTGTTTGTTTACGCTACCAGAACGTCACCCATTCTACCACGACTCTTTGGCAGGGGGGCATTGATATAGCAAAATAAAATGCATTGAGGTGTTTCAGAATTATGTCACAATGCGTGAGAGTGGCTTTACAAACCGTCCGTTGTAAAATATGTGTGTTCAATTCAACAAAAACACATAGATCAAACATATTACCGCATGGATTTATAATGCTAACATAACAACTATTTATGGTAGAGTAATGTATATCTCGATTCAAGCTTGTCCTCTATTATAATAAACATAGGCCAAAACCAAAGCACAATATGTAAAATGTAATCTCAAATAAGAGGTACTTTACCTTACAATTTTAACCAACTTCAACAACTTCTTGACTTAACGTACGTACACATGAAAAAGTATTCACAAATTTTTGAAGATGTGACAAGTCCATTTGTAGAAACCAATGCCAATTATAAAACATGTTGTATTATCGTTATACTTGTTATAACTGTTATACTTTTGTGATAAACATTGACAAAAAAAAAGAAAACTTGACAAAAACCGCACAGAATCGGGGTTTTGAACTCCGTAATTTTATTTACAAAGTAGTTAGTAAGGCCATATTTTAATGGCTAAAGACACTCTCGCCAATCCAGTGAATACATTAAAACGATTTGGATCTTGATAGATAATTTCGTTTTTCAGAAGAAGTCCGCGTAAAATGTCTCTTTGGCCGTGACAGACAGACAGACACACAGAAATAAGACTAGTTTCGGCTTCTTCCTTTAGGTTCTATATTGTGTGATAAAACGTAAAAATATATAATTCTGAACAATGTACAAACAAAACTCTAATTTTATTTATATAGATATATATTGTATTACTGTATTGTTATACTTGATCCTGTCACGTTTGTAGATTACCTGATGCAAAAGAAGCACGGTTGGCAGAATAAAATGGCTAAAACCATATCATTAAGCCAGCTTAAATTAACATTTTAAAATATATAAGCTGTAAAACCCATTTCTCTTCTACACTATTATTTATAAACCGTCCCGTCATTTAAACATCATATTGTCTTTCTGACTGTACACACAAAATAATTGTTAATCTATGTGCTACATATTATTTAGGCCTACTGTATCTCCCAAAAGCATCAGGAAAGGACAACCCACTGCGCAGATTAAACCCAAGCAACAGTAATCAACATTTGTGTTCGTCGGTCATTGAACCACGCAACATCATCATTATGTCATGTTTTGCTGCAATCTACAATCCAGGTCGCCCGGTTTTTGTGCCGTGAGACGCGACAGTAATAAGTTAATTAGAAAATCGTCCAATCGGATTTCTTGTCATCAGCCAACTTTCTCAGTTTTTTACAAACTTAGACGGTTAATCAATGGGAAAAGTATTGCTGTGTTGAAAACCTGATAGATTTTGAAGTTTGCTTTTGATTAAGTACTTAGTACATCCCCTGCGTAGTAAATTTGAACCAATCTGAACTAGGAGAATGGGGGATTGGGGGATTGTGGTATTATATCCAACATCAGGGCGAATAAAAAGTCAAGACCCTCCCCATCTAATTATAGGTAAATATACAGATATCCTTTTGGTGGTCGTACAACCTTAACAGGAAGTTTCATTTGATAATTAGAGATAAAGATTGTGAGTGTCCCCCAAAAGATTTTTGGGGCAAACCAATTTTTTTTATGTAAACCCCCTTCAAGTGACACCTCATTTTGAAGAGTCTACAAAAACTTAAAGAATGATGAAAACCAGAGTTCGTTATCTCTTCTCTATCTAAAATGTTAGCCAATATTACCATTACATTAATTTTCTTATCTTTTTATTGTGTAGACTTCAATAAATTTTACGAGCTACCATTTTAGATAGAGATAAGATAACGAACTCTGGTTTCACCATTCTTTAAGTTTTTGTGTCACTTGTAATGTAAACCCCCTTTTACATTTAAAATTTTTGAGTTGCCCCCAAAAATCCCCCATTTTTGGGGGACACTCATAATTTTAATCTCTAAATCAAATAAACTTCCTGCTAAGATTATACGACCACCAAAAGGATATCTATGTACATTTACAGTACTTAGAAAAATATATGATGAAAAAAATGAAAAAAATAGATGGAAAAATATTAGATGGTCTTGACTTTTTATTCACCCTGTACATACAGCCGCCAATGAGCTGATGTCTAGGATTTTCTAGGATAGTTTACGTACCAGTGCTACCTCTACTTTTACTTTTAGTCCAGTGTACATATTCTAGCTATATAAAAAAGTCCAGAGTATTTTTTCTGAAGCAGTACAAATCCACAGTATTTACAGTGTACTCTATACCACCGTGAGATTGTGACTAAACTTACTCCATGGCAGCTATGTTATTGTGTTTGTGTACTCACTGGTTTTTTGTTGGAACTCAGCATCGTCCGTATCGGTGAAGAACCATATCTGGAACAAAACGGAACAATGTGAGCATTAGTTATGCGACGTCCATGGCAACAGCATAGCATAGTGTTGGAATCGAGCGCGACTACCACCAGTGGAGCTAGGCCACTACCACTATAGTGGATATTTGATAACTTGGTGGAAAGTAGAGGAAAATAATGTAAAAGTACATCACAACCACCACCAGTAGTGCTAGGCCACTATAGTGGATATTTGATAACTTGGTGGAAAGTAGAGGAAAAATAATGTAAAAGTACATCACAACCACCACCAGTGGTGCTGGGCCACTATAGGGGATATTTGATAACTTGGTGGTAGGTAGAGCAAACATAATGTAAAGTACAGCGCAACCACCACCAGTGGTGCTGGGCCACTATAGGGGATATTTGATCACTTGGTGGAAAGTAGAGGAAAAATAATTTAAAATTACAGCGCAACCACCACCAGTAGTGTTAGGACACTATAGTGAATATTTGATAACTTGGTGGTAGGCAGAGCAAAACATAATGTAAGCACGAGCGCAACTACCACCAGTAGTGCTAGGGTACTACAGTGGATATTTGATCACTTGGTGGTAGGTAGAGAAAAAATAATCTACAAGTAGACCCTACATGTACATCAATAGAAATACTACACGTAGAATATTGCAATGATTTCGAGGATGTGTTGTTGGGAACTCTACGTGGTGTCTACAGTGTAAATGTACATGAATTTCTATCAAAGTACACTCTTGTTCAAAATGTGCACCTGTGCCTAGCTGCAGTGAGTAGTGACAGTAGTTGAAGCCACTTCAGCACTTCATGTTCAAAACTGTGACAGGTGCACAAAAAGAATGAACAGTTTGCTAAACAGCTGACGCAACGGGTGCAAAAATAAAAATAATGTCTGTAGTAACAGAATAAAACCGAAAACTCACATTCTAAGTAGATGTCCAATTGTTCGAGTAGTACAGTTAATTTTTGCTCTTTTACCCAAGGCAAGTTATAAGCTTAGTCAAAAAATCGACACTCTTTATTTTCTAAAAATATATATGCTACAACATGTAAAGGGAGCTTTTGAAAAATCTTCATATTCTTGATTTGTGTTAGAAATGTTAGTACTTTCTGTTTTACCAAACAGTCATGTTTCACTATAAATAAAATATTAAATTCAGAAAATAAAAAAAAAACTAGATGAATCGCATAAAAACTATTCGCAATCCTACAAGCTACAAGCAAAGAGCTCATAAATAGGTATTAAAAAACCAATATCAACATATTCTGTAGTTACTATCACAACCAGCATTATTCCCTAGTCAATGCTACAACGCACTACTCAGTAAACCCCACAGAATAAAAATTTGTTCACCTGTAAAAATAATTTGTCACAAACTTGTCCATTTGTAGCTAATCAATTTGTCAAATCAATACAATTGGTACAAATTAAATCATTTGTCTCCAGCGCTTACATAGGCTTGCTGTATGTAGGCGAGGCCACATTAAACCTCTTGAACCTCATTAATTACCCCAGAGGTCAGCAATGACTCAGTTCAACACAATTAGTGCTTTAATGCGCGAGGTCAACGATTATTAAACTGATTTTGAACTCCCCCCTTCCACCGCCCCCCTAGGCGCCTACGTCCTTTTGTCTGTATGATCTAACAGGGCGTCGTCGATTTTCGATCATCGGGAAGTGGTGCATACAAATTGAGGTGTTTATGTAAACGATTGGAAAATAAATCTGAATGGGATATTTTGGTAGATTACATTATTTGTTTAAAATTTGGTGTGCATAATCTTGGGGAACTTAAATAGGTTAAATAACGATGTTAGTATGATAAACTATATGTAGCATGTTTAACATAACATAACCTAAACGAACATAAGTTTATGTGACTAAAACAGAAAAATAAAAAATAGTGGCTCTAAGGTTTGTTCTTGTAACACGTAAGTTCTGTTATTTATAGGTGTATCGCAAAGAAATAGGTATGTAATTTCTCAACTAAGTAGCTGTACTGAGAAATAAATTTAAACTATGGTATAGGAATAGAAAATTTAACTGATCTTTTTAACTATTCCACGTGAAATCATAAGAAAGATGATTACTACAACGAAGGTAGCTAGAAAATAAATATTGTTATGTTTGTTTGTATTCCTCAGTGTTTCGTGGAAAAGACAAGAGCACCTTTGTTAATGAAAATTTCAACCCGAATAAAGTGTGCAGTAGTGAGGTTGAGGTAGTATTTTAACTACTTTTAACCAGTGTGAAAAGTAACTTTCAATTACAGGCCTACCTTATTAGGGCTATGCCTCATATATCTATAAAGCAATTCCTTTTATCATTAGATGTAAAATATGGACTAACACGAACGGGTGAAATTTAATTGCGAAGCATTCGTTTTGGCTTTGAAACTGTCAGATATTGTATTTGCGAAGGTTTATATGTATTCCTATACAGTCATAGTTTTGCCAGCATATTTGGAAAAATTCACACTAAATATGCAAACCAACTCCTGTTCTGAATATAAGGTTTCAACTAACTACAAGATTCCCGCACGTAGAACGGGCAAACAGCTAGTTCCAAATGAAAATTGATAATGATTTTTAAAGACAATGAAGTTACAGAATTGCTTCACCTGTTTAAAGGTAGAGTAGCAATACATGATTAAAAATAATTTTTCTCAGCTACAGATGTTCGGATTGTTTTCGGGTATCACTGAATTAATTAATAAACAATAGTAAATTAAACCATTGCGTGTGAGTGTTGGTAGTCTCTAGTGAGCTTCACGGACTTCGGTACAGGAGGGACGGGTTCGATTCCCGGCACATCAAAGACATAAAATAACACTTTGTTTGAAGTTCATTGTTGGTGATGGTGTGTTAATGGTGTGTGTGTGTTCATGATGTGGTGTTAATATGTGGAGTTTTTATGTTATGTTTGAACAACATAAAATAAGTGTGAACCTTCCATAAAACGTACTTTCCTTTGCAATTTTTCATGTAAAAAATTTCACCGGAGTAGACATCAAAACAAAAAATCTTGTAAAAATATCGGTAGTGTAAAATTTTGTTGCTGAGGTTACAAACTGTATACCTGAACTCGCACAACTTGTAACACATGGGATGTCTTAGCTGTCAAGACACAAAACACGCGTAAAGGGTTCAAGTTTGGTCGTGGGATACTAAACCACATGTTTGGCCATGTGCTGTGACGAGTGATGTAACCAGTAGCGGAAGCCGCAAAACATTCGGTGGGGAGTGTTTTTGGATCTGGGTAAAAAAAATTGGAAAATGATTAATTGCTTTAACTAAGTTCTCACGGGTATTTGCTCTACTAGAGTTTTAGAGAGGAAGTCTAAAGCATGTTGCATTTGGGGTGATATTTTTAATGGTTTGATTCAATTTGTCATGTCATTCATATATTACAAACTTTGTTTTTTTCTTTTGCTAATTTCATGTTTTTGTTATTTTTTTTAGAGTTTAACTGTAAGAAAGGACCGAGGTCCTAAGTTCACCTGAATGAGGATTTTTAATTTAATTTCAATGTCGACACTATTGGGCCAACTATTATCTCCAAAATGAATTAAACTACTGTAAAAGCTGGGATGGACTGTTAATGCCGAAACGCGCTCGTACACTAATGGAAATGCCCCAAATGTCCCAAACTTTAAAAAAAAACCTAAGTACATTATTTAATGTTACGATTGTCATTTAACGATACAGAACTACGTACACTGGTTGCCTCTCGTAACTTAACTCAATTAGAATTGTGTTAGTAATCCGTCCAACTGCATAAAATCTTAAGATGATCGAGATCTTAAAATATATTGTACTTTAGGACGATAAGAAATCTGGCAAAACTATATCTTTCACATCAAAGTGGAAAAATCACAAAAATGTGAATTCCAAGTTCAATGTGATGATTTGTGGACAGTACTAATGAAAAGTTCACGTTGACATGTAAGATCAATTTATTTAGTTCAAAAGATGAACTTCAACGAAGAAACCATTTATACTTTGGAAAACTCACTCCACCAATGCTAAACGATACTTTATTATAACTGGAAATTATTTCGTTTATTGACTGCGTTCAAAAACCAACACATCCAAACTTCAGGATTTACAATTTGTATAGAGATGATTCAGATACTATAGTTAAATGTTAAGTCAATATATAACAACAAGTATTTTCATTGATGCCCCAAAACAGACAGCCCTTTAGATATACAGTCATAAAAACGTAGATCTTTTAAGTAGTTTGTGTTCCTTATCATCAAATGTTCCAGCGACAGACCAGATACAAAGTCTGGAATTGATAGCTGATAACCTCTTATCACTCCAGGGCCTATCCCACAGGACAGGGCTTAGGCGTGGTGTAGGGAGTGGGATTATCGGAGTTAACATTAGAGCAAATAAGGATATGTTTAGTTAATTGTTAAGGACACATAAAAATCCTTAATATTTTCGAAGAAAAAAAGTTTTGATAACCATCATCATCAATGCCAATCAATCAATTATTGAGATGGGACGCCACTTAGGTGCGTTTTTTAAAGGATGCGTGTAGAATGGTGTGAGATGATATGTTTAGTTTTGTTACTGAAAAAATCTGTTGTTTTATTAGCCAGGATCAATTTGTGTTTATATTTTGATAAACATGGTTTTGTTATTGGCGAACAAGCTCTTTTCCGTTTCTAAAATCTATTTATGTGATTGATTTAATATTATTGTAAAATACTTTTTGTGCAGTCAGCAAGGAGCATTAATCTGCATCATGAATTTTTGCATATTAGCACTATTTTAAGTACGCCAAAAATAATTTAATTAAAAGCGCGCGTTGAGGAAGGCTACCTTCTTTTGAAAAGATGATTTTTTTCGCCAACTGTAACTTTGGACTAAGTGCACCAGCGACAATCATTTGATCGCTTCTTTCTCATTATCTTAAAAGTTTCTTTAGATCAGTTAAATTATACTTTTGACATTGTGTGACATAAAACAAATTATTTTTCTTGCACTTCTATTTCTTTT